TATAAAACAACTTTGCTGGTTGGGTCATTCTGAATTGAATGAGCTATCGCTATTATTTTCAGGAGCTTCATATCTATATAAAACGAATTTAAATTTGTGAATTCACTAACAGCGTATTTATGTCGTTTCAAGTTGTCTAAAATAACTTCTCCAAATTTATCATCTGTTCTCAGGCTATTCATGCCAAACAAACACATCTCAATTTTCGGAGAAACCTCCCTTCTCAAGAATTCATAAAGCTCATTCGAAATAATCACAAATCATCGTAAGTTATGGCTGTCTACCTGAAAGGAATAATTTATTTGAATTCGCAGAAATGGTCACAAATGTAGGGCGGTTCTCCTCGCAAATCAATAAATAATAAAGTAGTAAACTGGTCGAACTTAACCGAAGACAAAAAGTAAGGTGATATTCTATAAAGGCGGATTTCCACCAAACGGACTCGCTTGTGATTAGTTTCGTTTTCACAAATAGTTTCGAAATACTACATAGTCCTTAAATTCTTGAGCCTAATACATAGACGGCGCCAGTTTTATTGAATTCACCACTTGTGTAGTTAGTACTAACCGTTGAAATTTCATGATATTCTACTCATGAGTTTGTAAGTTAATGTGCTAAAAGTGACCCTACTTTTGTTATTTTCAAAACAATGGATCAAATACAATTTCGCTTTTGAATTTTACACTACTTCTTGATGGAAAAAAATACCTTTCAAGCAAAGCAATGTCTTGAAAAGTGTTATAAGGACTCCGCTTCATCAGAAACAGCAATTAAACGTTAGTTTGTTGAGTTCAAACGTGGTTGAAGAGACACTGATAATGCAGAACGCAGTGGACGTCCAAATGAGGCAGAAACACCAGAAAACATAAAAAAATCCTTAAAATCGTTCTAAATGATCTAAAAGTGGAGTTGCGTGAGTTAGCTAACATTGTAAATATATCAAAAGAACGTGTTGGCTTCATATTGCATGAGCATTTGACTATGAGAAAGCTCTGTTTAAAGAGGATGTCGCGCGAGCTCACTGTTGACCATAAAAAAGAACGTCTTGTTGATTCTGAGCAGTGTTTGGCCATGTGTGAACACAATAAACAAGAATTTTTACCTTGATATGTGACAATGGATGAAACATGGATCCATCACTTCACTCCGGAATCAAAACGATGGTCATCTGGGTGGAGAGCAACGGTGAACCTCAGCCAAATCGCCCAAAAGCACAACAATCAACTGAAAAGATTAGGGCCTCGGAATTCCGTGATGTGGGTGATGTATAATATACATCGACTATCTTGAGAAGGGAAATACCCTCAACAAACCAATTTTTGACAAAAAAACGCGTTTTCTTTCTTAGATCCGGGACTTTTCAGCCCAGGTGTTAAAATTCGAAACTAGAATTCCACTATTGAATATAAATTGATGGATGTAGCCGTTACTACGTGGTAGTAACCTGTGAGTGCGGAAAATCCTATATTGGTGAAACTAAGAGGCCATTGAATGTTCGCATTGCCGAGCACAAGAAGCACACACAGCGAGGAGAAACCAGCAAATTAGGAATAGCAGACCATGTTTGGACATCAACACAACATGGAGTGGTCCCAAGCTGAGATCTTGCACATTGGTTTAGGAGAAAATTTTATCAACTGTGCGAAAATTTTAATCAATCGTGTTCAAAGTCCTTCCCCTTCAAATCCCAATCCAGTTGATTTTTATACCAGCTTTAACGTTTCCGTCTTCTTTGGTAAATAATAATTTAAGTGTACTAAGGGGTTTCGGTTATAGTAGAAAATTTGTCATGGAGGTCGCCATATTTTTTTACAAATGGCATCTATGTAAAAAAACATGTTGGTCCCAGTAACGGATGTTCTCCTAACACCAAAATATTGGATAAAATCATTGTTAAGAAGACGAATAGATCATAGAACAGATAAAATTATGGCAGATATGATACTTTTGAATAATGTAACAATGCCACATGAAGTCACACATTAAAACAAAATAGTGAACTGAATAGTTACTTGTTGTCGCCGACCTTTCCACATAGCGAACTCTGTTTACAAAAACACAGATAGAACACCGAGACCTATTGATCTTTCCTCCTGCCGACGGGACATTTCATTGTTGACAAAAACAATCGCCAGCGACACAGTCTTCAAAATGTTTCTCATTTTAACAACTCAAGTTTTTGTTTTGTTGAAACTAACACAATTACTGATTTGTTGTGATTTTGTCCGTTTGGTGAAATACCGCCTCAAAAATATGAATACCATTATAAAGGAAAGGAAGATTGATCTATTTTCTAAATTATGACTGGTTCATAATACACGTTCCTTGATGTGATATGAATAGAAAATGCATGATTACAAATAATTATACATTTTCCTTGCAGTTTCCTTCAGAGTAATTTTCTTAACTATGTTTACGTCATTACAGAGTAAGCTGGACAGAGTTTTTCACTTGTTTGTCAATTTATTCAGTATCGTAGATGTTTTCAAAAATTTTGTAATATAATAGATATCTTTTTTTTTTTTGGGAAAGAAAGTTTTTGGCTTTCTACTACTTCATCTGATACAAAAAAAGGGATGAGAGAATCTGTGTTTTAAAAAAATCTTTTCTGTTGATCAGCTGTCGCCCCCAAAAGGTGAGAAACTTGTGCGAGCTAAGAACTAACGAGGTCTTACCTTTTAACGTGTGATTCCTAACACCACATTTCACAATTTCCGTGGCAGATAATAGTTAAGGGAACACGGAGGTAAAGTAACAATTGAAAATTAAGAAGTGGCAATAATGAATCACAAAATGAACTGAATTATTTGAAATGAAAATTTCAAACCTTCACCTTTATCAGTTTCCATAGACAACAGGATGCGGCAAATGCCTGAGGGAAAACAATTACTTTCCTGGCTAATATTACGACGGACAATATAATTTGCTCACAGATTTTTTGCAGATTATTCTTGTGTGTCCCCCAGCTGGATCTCACGAAAATCAATCAAGTGATTACGAAGCATTCGATGAATGTGTCGAGGAGAGAATATGCATGCTGTCGAATGTGATGATAATAATAATAATTAATGATTTTATTGAATATTTTGCAGTCAAACTTGAAAGAAAATAGAAAGAAAGACAAAAAGAAAAGGGATGCAGAACACGAATAGATAGTATGATAAAGAGAGAAAAAAGGAAACATTGAAGGATTTCAACGATAATTTTGATAATTTCGATATTTTTTACATACTGTTGTGAATCATTCCTTGAAAAAATTAGGTTCGGCCGCCACTGACTTTCATTATTCGATTGTGAGTTAGTCAAAGTCGCGCTCACCTCTATTTTTGCTACTCGATCATTCTAGGTGTCGCGTCGCTTCAGCAATATTCCTATCGGCTTCCGAAGACTTATATTAGGATATGTAAGCACTACCAACAGGCAGAGGAGGCTAGTCCAGTTGAAAGTACGGTACAAACTGAGCTATAAAGACGACAGACGTTTGAGTATTAGTCTGAAGTGTAGTTAAAAGTTTTTGTGTTGTATTTCTTTTCATGGCACTTTTTTAAATATAGCTGTTTTTATAATTTTTTTCTGCTTCAGAAAAAAAATATAACGTTGGTCAATATTTGTTTATAACAAATTGTTAAACTAATAAACAATTAAATAATAAATACATTTTTTGCCAAACTATTTAAAAGTGTAAATTGTGATTTTTAAAAGCAAAATTATTTCTTAACTAATTATTTAAACAATCGAAATGTAAAAAAATCGATTTTTAAGACTTAAAAATCAAAATTGAGAATTTTTTCAATCATAATTACCTCTAGACAACAAAAAATCAAAAAAAAATATTCGAAAATATCGAATTTCTATATTTGTTTAAAACAATTTAATAAACAAATTACGTAAAAAGTTTATATCCTATGTTAATAACTGCCATTGTTTAATGTGAAAACATACATAGCTGAATATCAATTGAAAAAAAATTATCAACAATTATTAGATATTTCATTTTGTAATAGTTATAAAAAATCATAATTAACAAATTAATAAATTTTTATGAACTTTTATCGCAGGATCGTATGAAGTATATATATCAAAAGGGCTCCACGAAGTTTAAAATTTATAGGCCAATTATTTATACCTTTTATCCCATTATTTATGCCAACGGAGATTGGGAAAAAATTTGTTAGTTAACAATTGAATAACTTTTTGAAAAATGGTGATAAAACTTTTTTTCTACGGGACTCGATTCATTCAAGTGTTAAGAAGATACTAGATTTTTTTCAAATTTTTAAAATGACATTTTATGTTATAAAAAAATTATTTCTTTTGATAAACTCTCTTTAGCGGCAGCGCGCGCATGCCGTAACAGCCGCGTGGAACCCTATTTTCAAAGTCAAATTAAAATTATAAATAATGGAGATAGAGTTTCGGGAGCCGGTACTTTTTCATCGGAAATTTCCTCCTCTTTAACGAGCTTTTTACAAAATTGCTTAAATATTAATATTTTTTAAGTTATTAACGAAAAACTAAATAGGTACATACAATTGCAGTTTTTTACCTGCACCAAAATCCGTCAAAAACATTTTTCGAATCGAATAAGCTATCGCTCATATTTTTATGACCTTTATCTCTATTTTTCATGTTTTTGAACTTGTTGATTAGACTATTACTGCTGGAAAGGTCGACGACCTAATCGAAAGTCAAAGTAACAAAATTCTAACTGAAAATGTTGCTTGAGCTAAGTTTATCAGATGTACGAAGTGAACATTGTAAATTGGTTTCAGTATGTCATACTTGTCACACATTAGTTAATTTTTTTGTAAATAATTGATTATTCAATTGAACACTTCCTATATTACATGGCGTCTCAAATCGAGACAATAATGACTAATAATATTTGTACCTTTCTCACATAATTTTTACTTCAAACACTCAATTCATATTCATGTTCAATATCGAAACTGTTCGGGTGAAGAAATCACCAGTTTTATTCTGGAACTACTTCAACTCACCTTTACAATTGGCAGAGCAGGCATCACAAGTTCCATTATTGAGATTATTAAAATGTATTCTAGCTGCACCAATCCTCTTCCAATCGATTGTATTCACGAAGCAGATATGAGGACATTTATCCACTTTAACAAGTCCCCTGGCAATGAACATAAGTTTGTCAGTCCCAATCTGAAACAAGGTAAAATTTCCGTGAAAACAAAACATTTTGAGAGAAGAAACTAAAGCAAATTCAAATCCAAGATAGAGTAGATGTAAACATTGACATGCCCTACGCACGTGATATTGAAAATCCCAAGAATTGGCCAGGGTCGTATTCAGAACCAACATCTTGTTGATCGCAAATGTTATATCATACTGAGGAAAACTTTTTTATAATAACGAGAGAAATGCACAAGTTTTGCAGTTCAAGGGGAAAAATGCTGATAATATGTGTAATATAAAAAGATTTTCATTGGATTTTTCACAGCGCACTCAAGCATTATATGAAAAGAGACGTAATTATTTCTTTATTGATAATTTTTATTTTATGTAAAATCAAAAGGAATATTAATGAAAATTATTCAACTGGATGAATTTATCTCTTCATCAGTAGTGTCATCCTCACCAATCTGAAATATCAGTGGCTCGATTTGTGCCTCTATTATGTTATCAAGCTTCCACATCTTTGTCTCGACTTCCGATATCACATGTCGAACACACTTCTCCCATTTCTCCGCTGTGACTCTTTTCAAAGCCTCATCAAAAAGTACTTTGAGATCTGCAAATTTGAACGTGGTGTTATGCTGAGCTACAAAATTCTTCATAACCGCCCATATTAACTCGATGGGATTGAGCTCGCAGTGGTATGGAGGCAGGCGAATGACAATTTTGTTTTGGCCTGCTGCCATCTCATAGACTATATATTTTTGGTATTCAAGCTTGCGCTCCTTGACAATTTTTAGTAGCTGTACTCTTAGCATTGAGTCTTCAAAGCTAATATTCTTTGATCGCAGCCAATTTTGGATTTCAACCTTCTTTGAAGACGTTGTCGGAATCTTCTCTAACCGTCGCGAATGATAAGGTGCATTGTCCATTACAATAACAGCATTATCCTCCAGATGGGGTAGAACTTTGGAAAACCACTGTTCGAAAGATTCACCGTTCATTTCTTCGTGATAATCTCCAGTTTTCTTCGACTCGAAACACCACAGCCCTTCAGCAACAAATCCATTCTCATTGCCGATGTGACAAATAATAAGCTGTTTTCCTTTACCTGAAATTATGAAGAGGTATGTAAGTGAATAAAACAAATACGAGGGTTACTTTTTATAATTGAGATTGAGGCAGGTCTTAATATAAATATAAGTTTACCTGATGGATTTGTTAATCCGGTGGATAGTCCATCTAGAAAGGCCCTCCTAGATGAGGTCACAGTTTCATCGACCCATACTTCAGGGGTAGTATGACCAGCATCAACCCAGGTTTCATCCATTTAATGAATTGTTCTCTGTTGTTCCCTATAATATTTAATTTTGGTCAAATACTCTCTCCACCATAACACAATTTCCTCTCTATCCAATAATAAAGTATTGCGCCCTCGTTTTTTCCATACAATATTCAAATGTTTCAGTACTTTATGGAATGTTGACCGCTTAAAACTTGGCAATAAAACATCTTCATTTATTTCTGTGAGTACTTTGTCTATCGTGGGTATTTCATTTCTGAAAACGTACTCATGCCCTTTCCTCCTGATTGTATGTTTGACGATTCTGATTTGTATTCGGTTTGGAAAATGTATGATTTTGTTTATATTCCCGTAAAACATTGTAAATCGAAGCGCAACACACTTCAATTTTATCGGAAGCTTTCGATACGACTTCGTCGACAGTCGATGTCTCAATTTCTTCCATCTCTTTCTTGAACACATTTAAAATTACTTCTTTCATGTCAACAATTAAATGTCTTTTTTGGATCGTTTCCTGGCTGGACTCGGAGGATAGCTCACAGTGTCATCAGCAGTGTCTGTACTGGACATCTTGAAAAACAATTTTAAACAATATTCTATAACGCACGCCACACAAACACGCAAACGACTGATTACAACCCTGTGCTGGTACCGAACTCGTACCAAGAAGGCAAATTCACCAATGAACGCTGCCCTTTCCATCTGACACTGGGCGATCACGTGAACATCACGCTTCGGTTTTGTTTTGTTTTACTCTATCTTGGATTTGGATAGACTTAAGATGGTAGTTTTTTTCTTAATTGAGTCGAAAAACCTCAACGAAGAGCTACTTGCTCTTGTACTGTGTTCCAACCTATAGTACATTTGGTATTGTCTGAAAGTGAAAGAATTTCAAAACTGCAAACATGCCAGTACATTAAAAAGAAAATAACATAGTTGTCTCAAGTAAGTGGCACTACAAGTCATCCACAAAGTCACTGAGATATTTCTACCCGCTATGCCAATTGAGAACGCCGCTAAGGAGCCATTGAAATAGTGACTTGCGACAAATTTCGAAAGAGGCGGCCGACGCTGTTTATCGCATGGCGTTAAAAATAGTATCAATAGACGTCGGACTGGTGGTCCTAATATGAATTTTCCAATGATATATTTCGTATGATGCAAAGATAATTCAAATATTGGGAAAAGTAATGTTGTTGAAATATTTTATTTTGAGAAAGACCATTTATATTGGAAATAGTTTTTTATTTAGGGTTGTTAGTTACCTGCTACAGATCTATAAAATAATATAGAATATCAAATTTGAAAATAAATGCAAATGTAGAAAGGGAAAAAATTACTGGATTTGATGAATCAGCTTTTTGGAAAAAAATAATTTGTCAGTAACTTGAATTTATGGAATTTTGCATATAAAAATAAAAATGTACATTCTGGTGACGTTTTAAAGACTATCCATTTTGAATGAAAACATTACAATTTGTAGTTATAATTTGTCTTTTGATGTAAATCAATGTAATATTATTATTATTGGCACTGATAATGTCAATTTGATCGTAGGTTTGTCAATGATGACGGGTAAAGTCTTCGAGTTGAACCGCGCTCAAAGTTTTGCATTGTTGAACGTTTCGGCTTCGACTTTGAAGCCATTTTCAAGAGGTAAAAAAGTGTGGCTGTACTGAGTGACACCCTTAAGGGTTTTGATGATCTGATCTTGCCAAAGCTTCGAGACGGTATGACCCTCATTGACCCATGTTTTAACTAAATAAAAACAGATTGACCCAGTATTCTGGCTTTCTTAATTTATCTTCTCCATTCTACAATCCCTGATTTTTCAATCAGCTGTATCTAAAAAGAGTGTACTGTTCTCCTAACAGAATGGAAATGCTACGGAAAATGATACTGATTTGCTTATTGACTGATTGAGTTAGGGGTGTATTATACTTATCAAGACTAATCGGTCCCAAGATCTCTTTATATTTGCAGAAAAAAGAACAATTCGAAAAGCAAGAATTTAAATTTGCCGCGTGTCTGTTGACCAATAAAATTGATCGTGTCCAGAGCGGAGTTGCCAAGTGTATTGGTAAAGGGAGACGAAAATATTGAATATGATGACACAGTTTTTTATTTCAACTGCAAGTATTCTCCGCAGAAAGTATTATCTAGAGTTGATACTGTTGCTGAAAGTATGAAAGGAAATTAATTAATATTTTTGCAAAAAAATCAAATGCTTTTTATTTTACTTCAATAAATTTCATCATATAATTAAATGTATTACCTCAGAAGTTTTTGTTGGGTCAGTTCGAGTACGATCAATTCTGTCTATACTTTACCTCATTCAACCTTCCTCTCAAGTTTTGGAAGATTCAACAGATTACCCAAGCGAGCCTATAACGCTTGAATTTAGTAGCAATATTAGAAAGAGGTATGTATGTAGGAATCTTTTTTTCTTCATAATAAATTGCAGTTATTCAGATTGAGGATTGTAGAATAAATTGAATATTTGAAATGATTCTTTAATCCAGTTTGCTATATTTTTTGATTTTCATAACTGTATATTATTAAATAATGCGTAAAATCATAGTTTAGGTAAATATTTTGTGATATTTCGAATTTGTGTACTGATTTTAGATATAGAACATAGTTCCAAACATGATTTTTCGTATACATTTATTTCATGTGTAGAAATTTTCATTAATTGAAACGTTAACAAGTTGTTGCATTAGTACACATTTTATGATATAGGTTTAAACTGTGTTGGCAACACTGAAAAGGTGAGGTTAGAACAGAAGATTGTAACATGGTGGCTGGATGTGAAACAAAACAGAAAAATAAACTGTATTTATAAAAGTAATGTTAATTTTAGTTTTCATTATTCGGGTAACGAATAGAACATGGTGGCAGCGGTGAAACCGATGTAAATACAGGAAAAAGCTTTGACAATTCTTTAGCCTCGTGCCTTTTATCAAAATCACATTCAAGTTTGTGTTTCCTTCTTTCCTCAGTTTCAATCGGAGTTTAAAAAATTTACACTTGAGCTAAATTTTAAACATGTCACATCAAGTCCTTATTTTGCTCAGTCGAATGGGGAGGAGGAAGCCGCAGTGAAAATTGAGAAAAATTTGATCAAGAAGAATAAAGACTTGTCTATGGCAATATTGTCTCATAGATCCACTCCCTTGCCAAATGGTTTTAGCCCAGCGGAATTGCTAATGTCGCGTAAATTAAGGACTAATTTACCTATATTGCCAAGTAAACTAGATGAATTAGTGGATACTAAATCTTCGATTGAAACTGAAGAAAGAAGGAAACACAAACTTAAATGTGATTTTGATAAAAGGCACAAGGCTAAAGAATTGTCAGAGCTTTTTCCTGGTGATAGTGTTTGGATCACTGATTTGCGATGTTACAGAAAAGTGATTAAAAAGTTAGATGAACCACGATCTTATCTTATTGGAACGAGTGGGGGGAATTTTCGGCGAAATCGTTGGTTTTTGGTATTAGCACCATATGCACAGTTTAGATCTTTTGACAGTCAGACTCAAACAACATTAAGTCAGACCCAAACAACATTACCAGAACCGATGCCCAGTAGTTCTTTACACTCAGATGTAAACTTAGGTAGAAGTGATAATAGTTCTAGTGAGTACACTAATGAATTCGTGGAATCAAAGCTGAAAAGTGCGTGTGAAATTAGTCCGGTTAAGAATAAACAAAAACCTGAAAG